AAAGAAAGAATTGAGCCCGGGGCATAGACAAAGGATTGAATTGTTAGAAGATTGTATCACGGATATTCCATAATGCCCATGAAAGGCTAAGGTAATAACTGATACCATGAGCCACCGATCGGAAGATAGCTTAAGCCTACGTAAAGGCTGATCAGAAGGAAGAGGAAACTAAAGGATTACATCACTTAAGTAAATCAGTAGTCTGATTATTGGACTTAGAAAAATTATAGAAGTTGTGATGGAAAACATGACAGAATCACTCTTAATATCATATGTTCCAGGGAAATAACACAACAACCATAATCTATAATGGCTCTACAAGGAAGCCAGTTAGAAGAAGTACCAGCCTCATAAGAAGTCAGTATGAAGCTCCCACCGGATTGTGTATGTACCAGAGGTGCGAGTATTATAATAGAGCTTCAAGTTATGGACGTGAATTATACCTATGTGGAAGGGAGGTCATGAAAGAGATAGAAGATACGATGCGAGATTTTAAGGTAAGTAAGGTAAAGGTGAACAGCGTACGAGATACTCAAAGGTAGAATGTGTGAATAGTCCATACTTCGGATAGAAGTCTAGAAGTCCTGGGATTCAATATCCAGGAATGATAGTGACATAATCAGTGGCATATCTCATAGCCTATGGTTTCTAGGTATCGAGGAGGCTAATTAAGACAGTAAAGAAGCGTTAGAGACGATGTAATGTCTCGCTTGATGTCCCAGAATGACATAAGGAAATCTATGATGCAAGCAAGTTGAAAGGTTGCAAGTTATATAAATAGAGTTGTGTAGGTAGCAAGCCATTATATGGTGAAGTGACAAGATTCTAGAAGACAAGAGTAAGGATAAGAAAGGGTGAGTGAGAAGGTAACGAAAATGGATAAGTCCTCAAGATTAAGCTCATGAAAACAAGAAGAGCAGGTGGTTTCGCTAAATTATACGAAGCTCACTATAGCCTTAATGAACTCAAAGGAGTCTAAGATTAATAGCATTTAGAAGGAATGAAATGCTGACCTGGTAATAAAATGAGGGTATAATTGTGACAGGTATAGGATGACGGTTGGGCCTTCGATTGAATAAAGATTTTAAAAAAAAAAAAATAGAAGGAGAAATGATTTCGCTGGCGGCATGAAATTAAGATACCCCCATAAGGTGAATCACATTGAGATACTATGAAATACGATTATGAAAATCATTTCAAATATTCCTCAATGCAATGTAAGCCCTAGTGCAATACATTACGTAAGAAATTTCAAGTCTTCAAATGGTAGATTGTAGAAAAATATTGAGGTGAATCAATAATGGAGGGGTAAAAGTTGCAAAGTACGAGATGAGACTGGGCCATCAGCCTTAAGATGAACAGTAATGAAGAAGCGTTAAAGGATTTAGCTTTATGCATATAAGATAAACAACAAGAGTAACCTGGAGTTCGGTTGCAGACTTCAGTAACGATAAATCGAAGTAAGAATTATGGTATAGGATGACCTACTTAGATATAGTAAAGCTAATGATGCCCAGAGGGACATCTTGACATAATTTTGTATATGTTCATAAAGTGAAGCCTAGAGATTGGTTAAAAGCTGGAGGAAAGAGAAAAGAAGAGTCGCATAGCCGCACATACAAAGTTAGAGTCGTAAAAGTTGCATGATAGAAGGTAGCAACAATTACGAGATCAGAAGGATTCCAACTACAAGTCGTGGTGTGAGAAAGAGGCTTAAAAGGGGGGAATGCCCTAGCCTTTGAACTTATTCACAGAACAGTTGCCTAGATGGAAAAAGGACTACTAAACTATTAGCAAGAGCTATGGGATATGAGGACGATAAGCGCATCAGTCAACATTCGAGGACGAATGTTCCAAAGGGGGGAATGATGTTACACCCCATATTTTCGTACATGAAAGTATGCCATAAATAAATTAATGAGAGCTGGAAGTGAGGTTTCATGTCCCGCAGTACTACATTACGACGATGTTGCACCCTGTAGTGTTGTACGTTGAATTTGTCATAAGGTAACTGACATCAGTCCAATGAAAAGATTATTTGGAGATTATAAGGATTATGCTATTTCAATCAAGTAATAAGTAAATTCTTAAAGGTGAAAGGGGAAGCAAGTCGAAGAAACGAGTTTCGTTGAAAATGGGCAATTTGGAATAAAATACGGGTCGAGCGATAATACCCGATAATTATAAACTAATACCATGCAAGGTACCATATGACCATGGTAGTGTAATATATAAAGTATATATCAAATATTTTGAAAATAAATAGAATTTTAACTAATTTGTGATAATTCTTAAATTATGCGAATAATAGATTAATTATCGGGTAACGAAATATTACTCGGTTAACTAATAGGTGGATAAAATTAATAAAATCATCTCCCCCAAACCAAGACGTGGCAGTACACCATCATTTAAGCATATGACTAAGAGTCATATCTTCTTAGTATGATACCAACGTGTAAAGTCATTTATGACTCATGAAGATAAGTTATTTTTTTAAAGGAAAGACTTGAAGTATTGAATTCATTTTGGACAAATGATTAGGAAGTCACTTGGTCCGACTCTTGGATAGGTTTCAAAGACCTTTTGCCTTTAAGAAAAAATGTGAAAATCCAAATTCCTTCCAAAAATTCAAAACCAACAAAACGTGAATGGCAGAATCATTTCCTCCAACAATTCAAAATTTTCTATTGAAATTTCGGAAGAAGCCACCAAATTCCGTTTCAAAATTTTAAGAGATTCAAGCATAATTTCGTCCATATTTTTGCGGAAGCAGATTCGTTCAAACAATTCAAGAAGCAGGTATGTTAAGGCTCTCCCTTCTTTCTTTTGGCATGATCCATACGATACGAACGAAACGTGCAAATGCACAAATTCCATAAGTGACTCTATTCATAGAAGTATTAGAAATATCTATGTTCTTTAATTTTCATATGTCATAATATTTTATCATCTGTTCATGGGTCTCAGAAAAATACGAAAGTTGAAAAGATGTTACGTTATGATATTGCTCAAGAGGCAAAATGGTCTTATGACATTCCGAATGATTTTATTGACATACTTTTCATGCATTGCATTCATNATGAAAGACATAAAGTTTTGGACCTGCAATTCAAACACTTGAAATATAAAGTCAATGGTGTGTGCAATCACCTTTATCTATCTTATATGTCTAGCATAACATAAAAACTTTTGATGTAAATCTAAAGTCCATTTATATGGCTGATATGACTTAACTTATATGACAATCCTGAAGGATTTAAATTGCTTAAACCATATAAAATTTTTGTTCATGAAGTACTACATCCTAAGTGTAATTTGTGAACATATGTATCTTGTTATAACTATAAGCATGATAATGTGATAGCGAGAATATCTCTATTGAAAAGGCTATTCTACGACATTATATGAAGATATTACATATCTATCAAGAATGATGATTTCAAGGTGCATCATATTCATTCAAGTTAATATGGCTGATTGTTTATCAAATCTCTACCAACGATCTTTTGAAGATGGTGCACAAGATTAGAATGCAAAGACTCAAATATCTGAATTGATGTTCTCATCAGGGAGAGTTAATATGTGTTTTACTCTTTTTCCCTTACAATGTTTTGTCCCATTGAGTTTTCCTTGCAAGGTTTTTAACGAGACAACCAAAAGGCGTATTGTTAGATATGTGTACTCTTTATCGTTCACTGGAATTCTTTTCCCACTGGGTTTTATTTTAGTTAAGGTTTAACGAGGCACATTATCTGTTGAATAGACATTCAAATGGGGTGTTATAAATAGAGTTTTATTTAAGGTGAATGTCTATATTTTAGAGGGATTGTAGGAATTTTACTTGATGGCTAAATCACTCTTTTCCTGTAAATAAAGGGGTCTTATTCCATTGTAATTCATCCCAAATCAATAAGAATTCTCTCTCTATTTTTATCTGCAATACTCTTCTTCTGTTACTGTTTATAACATATATAAGGATGTTGTTACTATAAGGGGTGACTGTATACTTCAAGCGGTGACTAGACATTAATTAGCGGCTCAAAAATTAGACAGTTCACGCCGTTTATCTATGTAAGCCTGTTTACATATCCAACCTATGATGGAAATAAACAGCCAGTTCAGCTATTATGGTAATTCTCAGTGGCCCAACCTATAAGATCCCACAGAGAGTAACTACTGGAAAATGTTAGACCCACGATGAAATGAATTTTAAAAAGAGTTCATGAAGAAGATCGTGAGAGACGAGTAACTTCAGCCTTGCCAATGGTCAAGTCTCTGTTTTCTGCTGGTAGTGATTCGTCGTTTACTAAGTGAACAAGGATCATTTGTTTTAGCCCTTGGTGGCCACTTGTGCATTTTTTTTTTTAGTATAAGCATTTGAACAGAAAAAAACTTATCTGCATCTAACATTTTTCCTGAATGGTATGTGCGCCAAATAATTGAATGCAAGACATATCTTGTATATAAGCTTTTGTCACTTTACTATGGTCAAAAGAATATTTTTCCCTTATGTGGGGAGAGGGGGTGCAGAGGGTGGGGAAGGGATGAAAGGGTTGAAATCATCAGTTGGAGAGTTCCAGGAACTATTTTCCCTTGTCATAGGGATATCACTTCTAGAAATAAAAGGAAAATGTGTCTCTAAGGAATATATTTTTCAAAATATTTAATCCAACAAAACATAAACACACCCTTAAGCGTGTTGTGCAAAAGACTTTTACTGTTATCCACAACTCTAAAGCCGCAATTTCGCTTATACCCAATTAAATATTCAATTAGATGTAACAACCACCCTCTCTCACCAAACAAACTCAACTTTGACAATTATGGAAATCTTACTTCATGGGAGACCATCAATAACAATTTTTGGCTGGGTAAACAACTAAATGTATCAGGTGTGAGTTGAAGACATTTCTTTCATGCATACCACTTTTACTTCAAACATGAAACGTGTAGACCACAACTCATCATTAGAAAAAGGGGTACCCCTTCTACCATCCTTCCTTCACACCTCATCCCCAACAACACCAAACTTTCAACAAACACATATTTGTCTCAGAACAGCAATAGACAAATCATTGCTTCATCCATACTCTTTCCTCAACCATGAAAGTGAAAGCATTAGGTCCCTTCAAATGCAAGCTTGTCAATCCAATCAAGAAAATACTTAGGCTTTTCAAGTTCAGACTCAGAAAGCCCCTCTTTATAAGTAGACTTAAGTTTCGTCGTTCAGTACACGAAACTGATAAAAGCACACGTAGGAACCGATCTTCACAGATTCTGTCAGTTTTTCGTTCTCTAAGAAGAAGAGGGAGAGAGGAGGACCAAGTCATGGAGCTCAAGAGTTTCTCAGAAGTAGAACATCACAAAGCACCCTTTCCCTCACCCCTCACCCCAGCTTACGTTAGATTGAGTACAGCCACTAAAAAAGAAGCATCAGTTCAGGATGATGTAGAAGATGCATGCAGAAGCTTTGAGAATTATCTGGTGGAAATGATTGTGGAAGAAGGAAAAATGAGGGACTTGGCGGATGTGGAAGAATTGTTATACTGTTGGAAAAATCTCAAAAGCCCCGTCTTCATTGACCTGGTGTGCAGATTCTACGGAGAGCTATGCAGGGATTTGTTTTCGAATAGCTATGAGGATGACATTAACATTCTCAAGTGACTTATAATGAAATTGCTTTATCTTATCGTTTGAGCACAACCTATGTCTTTACAGCCCTTTCTATGTATGTATTTGCAGATCTGTAACAGCAATAGCAAAAAGCAGCAAGCCCAACAACCAGGGGATTTAAAAAGTTCATCACATACATTATTTCAATCACATTCATGACCACCACTACACCTTTTCCTCAAAACAGCCCCCACAGCTAATTACTAACAACAACAAACTCAGTGTAATCTCATAAGTGGGGTCTAGGGAGACAAACCCGTTGAATAGACATTCACCAATCTAGTTGTTAGTTATGAAGAGAAACTAAGTATGATGAAACTCTCGATTATTGGACAGTTGTGCTAACTGTTGTCCTGTCGCTTAGAGTACTAGACAAACACATCGATATTGAAAATAAAGATTAAAGTTATCTCAAATTTCTTAAATTAAGACCACAAGCTGCAATGATGAGAGGTGCAGATTAAAATGTAAAATGATCAAGCAAACTAATTAAATGCGGAGTATTATATTTACACTTCAAACTTCAAAGGCAAGGAACTGCTTATAACAGTATGGGGATATAGGAAGGCAATACCTCAAAGATACAAGCTGAAGGATCTATCTGTGAGTACATGCCCATCTTTCTGCAAGCTGCAACTGCTAAGAACAATCCCCAGTAAAACTGACAAAACATCAAAAGATTTTTCCTAGAGTTCAGGTCAGCGACGTAACAGTACTTTCTCCTAATGCATACCACTATCACTCATCCATATTCGAGAGATAAACTCGAGACCTAATAACTGTGTTCCCAATTAGGAACCCAGGCATGACCATAAGTTCAACTCTACATTTCTCATGCCCAAGATTGAGCACAACATCTTTGTTAAACTCCTCCACACTCTCCATATACATATTGGAGAAATGACTTCCTCTCTTCACTCCAAATATTTCACCTCTAGGTTCAACTGAAGCTGCAGCAGCCTGCAGAATCCAGACACATCTTGCCATTTTCACAAATGCTCGATAGAATGGTGTTTGGGGATGCATCCCGTTGCTTACTAATGTCCTATGGTCGACACTACCAAAGAAAGATTTTTCCATCATAGGATGAAGTATGGACAGATACTTTTCTCTGCAGAATTGGGCAAAAGCGGATTGTGTATCTATAATCAGGGCATCAATTGGATCATCGAGCTTCATAATTCTGTCGACATTGCAAGATTGAGGCAAGAATTCATTGAACATCCTCCTAGCAATATAAGCTTCAAAAGCATATTTCTTGTGCGACCTCTTCGAATACACAACGGACCTTTCAATTGCCTCGGCTGCTTTGTCTAGATCCCAGTCTGAGACTTTCATCAAGGCAATTAATGGCTTGGAAAAATCATGGACAGCCTTTGACACAGCTTCAACAGTGGCCTCAAAGGAAGCGAAACTCAGCATTCTCGAACTCTCCTTTACACTCTTGTTCAAAATTTCAGCCATCTTCCTGTTCCTCAACTCCAAATCATGAAGCTCTTGTCGAAAATTAACAACCTTGGACTCCTTAATCTTAAGTTGGGATTTCAACTTGTCCAGAAGTCTCTCTTTAACTTGAATTTCTGCAAGCAAGAGAGCTGAAGTGGCTGAGAACGAGTTCAAATCCTTCAACTGCCGCTCTTTGTACGATAGCTTAATCTTGCACAGCGACTCAAGCTGAGAGACAATAACTCCATCAGCAGCTCTTATATTATCAGGATCATAAGGAATGTGAGCTTTTTGGAGCTGAACATAAGCTACTTTCAATGCTGAAACAGTGTCAAACAATTTCAAGATTTGGTCAATCCGACCAGATCTTTTAGCATCACTCTGAGGATCAACTTTAATAGCATCACATCCAGCTTCCTCACTACTGCTTTCTTCAACCACTTTGGGAAAGTTGTTGTCATTATTCAGGTACAGTTCATGTTGATTATTGTCAAGGTTTTCAGAAGTGAAGACCCCAATGGACCTAAATTTACAAACTTTGGCAAATTTGGAGACGATTTCAGAAATGTTTGAAGATGGTTTAGCTGCAGATTTCATTCCCTCGCCCATTTTCAGATTTTGATTAAAAGATCTAATCCAATGGCACTGTTAGAATATGATTGTACCAAAGTGGCAAACAAGAACCAAGATTCCCGCTGAAATAAATATGCTTATTATTAGAATAGACACCGGGAATTAAGGGTTCAAAGTTTCATTAAATTAAAACAAATCAAGATTCTATTTTTGTGAAACAGGAATTTAGAACAACACTTAAAACCTTAAAATAATCAACAGGAACTGTATGCCTTTGCAGTTAAGGTCACAACAAGCAATCAAAAACAAAAAAGAAAAAGAAGTAAAGATTTTTGGAGATTTCTAATAGCAAAAACACTTACCCCACAGGAAAGAAATGCTAAATAGGTGCAACAAAGTAAAGGACTAGACACTGATGGCTACTTTACGACGTCGTTACATACAACAGTTTTTAACTAGGGGTTCAGTTGGACATGGACAAGATATTCAGCTTAGACAAAAAACAAATCCAGCTTTTAACACTCCATACCATGAGTAAGGGAGATGGATATGGGTTTTTGGTAGAAGAAAAAGGAAGCCGAGAAAATGGTGGGATGATGATTTCTAGGGACAAAGGAATCTTCAAGTCTGTACTCTGTAGTGTGTACTCGCAGAGGGCTAGCACTGAGTTGTAGAGTTTGAATTCTTTAATTCGTTGCTGGCTTTATTACAAGTCCCTCAATTTTGAGAAAATTATATTGTTCCTCAAAATTTCGACTTCTGTCTAGTTTTGGCTTAATTCGAGGAAACAAATATGGTTCTTATAGGTTGGGCCGTGCCGAATTACCGTACCAAAATCAAAAAATTTTGTATTTGGTATTCGATATTTTGGTATTCGGTATGATATTTGATTTAAGTTTTAAAAAATATTGGTATTAGGTATGGTATTTGGTATTTTAAAATGAAATACTGATATTGTACCGAAGTATATATTATATTACACAATACATATTATTAGTTATAACATAAATATAAAAATCTAAAATTTTACTTTTTTCTTTATTCTCTAAGTTCATCAATTAACTCTAAGCAAGTAACAAGACATTTCTAATGATCAAATTTATTCTTTTATGTACAGTTTCCTCTCTCTGAGTTGGTATTTGCTAGTTTTGGACAAAACTTTTGTCAACAAATATTTTTAGTTTTGTAATTTTGAGTACGTTAATTTAGAATATTACAGTCTATGACTCTATGCACTAGTTAGTATTCGAACCGAATAAATCAAAGTTACCAAACCGAAAAAACCGAAACCGAAAGAAGAAAAACCGAACCGTACCGAATTTAATTAGGTACGGTATTGGTATTGCATTTTAAGAAACCGAATACCGAAAATACCGTACCGAAATATCTAAATATCGTACCGTACCGACCGACGAACACCCTACTTATAGGGACTACCAAGGAGCAATTTGGCTCACACAATAGAAAATACAATAGAATGGCAAAATATATGGGTGGGCAGTTTGGATTGGATATGACATTTTCGGATTGAAAAAATAATATCCAAATCCATTGAGTCTATAAGTTGAGATGCTTATTCTTTCCTACAAAAATAGATATCCAAATGAAATATTTATTTAAACTGCATAAAAAGTTCATTATTCTCACCGCAATCATCTAAATAAAGTATCATCATTTAGGAAATCCAACATAGACGCCAATAAGGCCGATTAGAATTATAATAGTATTTACCCTCAAAATCGGATAACAATTGAATTGTAAGTGGTTTTAAGGATATACGGATTAACTTGACACAAAGCGGTAAATTAAGTTGTAATTGAAATAAACAATAATAAAGTAAATTCAAACCACACGAATTGAACAGTTACAATCTTAGAAGGTCAGTCATACTCAAACTACACTTTGATCAGTATCAAGAAACAGAAGAATAAGGGCTTCAAGAGAAAAATAATAATGTATTGTTTTGGAATGTATATTACCCTCCCCAAACGAATTATCAAACCCCCTTTACATAGTAGAGGAGACCTACTTTAGGTACAATTCTATAAAAGGTAAAAAATCTCTTGATTTGCCGATTGTTAGTTCCTTATTGATACGTGCCGAGATTTCCGTTGTAATATTCGACCGGTCACAGATATTTCGGTCTTCTGTTGGCTATGCTATCAATGTTTCTTTGAGCTCGTTCAGGGCCAGGGTCAATTCTGGGATCATGGCCTCGATATTCTTGAAGGCGCCCATCCTAACCTCGGGTTCTAACCCGGTGGGACTTGGGGTCGATCTTTAGTCCTTCATTGCCATGTTCCGAGCCTGACCTACCATGTCGTATGTGAGCTAGATTTCGACCGTATACAGATAGTCCTCTCATTTTTCGGAGAGTAGATGACGAGAAACGATATAAGCTTCTGATTCTAACTTTGATATCCCGCGACAGAAATGACAAAACAAAAAAACGTCTCGTCAGTCAAGTCTTAATGGCATTGCATGCATGTCAGCCGTCGGCCGACCATTTATGGATGTGAATCGCCGCTGAATTACTATAAATACTTCTTCCTTTGTTCATTCAACTTTACATCCAAACCTTCTACCCTTGTACCTTAGAAATCTCAATACTTTTTGGAACTTATATCCTCATTTTTTTAGATCTTTTGTAAGAACTTTTGTTCGTCTTCATCCCAAACCATCAAGTTTACTCCTTTAACTTCCTCTTTTTCACCATTTTTCCTCCATTTTAATAGAAAATGGCGAAGACTTCAAAAACTGTTCCACAAAAAGAAACTCCTTCTACTTCGCGGCCGGCTATCGAGGAGACCGTTTCGTGTATTGTTGTTGAGGAACCAGTATCGGAACCTCCATTAAAAATGTTTGTCCCTGGAGGATGCTCGATGGCTGCCAATTTCAAGGTTGAAAAACCTTCCCCCGTACAAGGCTAGTGTGAGGAGGTCTCGAGATACATATACTTGATCACTGAAGAAGTCCTCCCCACGGTCAAAAAGGATTGCAATTGGGTTGACAAGCATGTGGTGGTTCCCGATTCCGATGAAGATATCACCACCCACGTCGAGGGATACTTAAGTGTTTACACTTATCCCTTTACACTGGGCACATTGGATCCGGTCATCATCTACTTCTGTAAAATATACGAGGTATGCCTCGGTCAAATTCACCCTTCATTCTGGAGGATCGTGATTATTCTTCGATTCTTCGTGAGCAAGATCGATTGATGCTCGTTCACCGTTGATCACCTCATGCGTTATACTGTCCCCGAATCTTGTGTGGAGGGACTGATCAAGCTCACGCATCGGGCTAGTAAACCCTACTCTCGAGTACTGATGAAGATCGGGATTGAGGCTGGCTAAGCCGTTTTATTCGAGTGAGGACTTCGGACTTGATCTCAACTGAGCGCAGGTTGTTCCCCGAGAAGTAGAATACATCACATAAGTAAAATTTCATTTCACGCTTTTTTCCTTCCTTCTTATCGGTGTTTTCTGGTGGTGCAGCTGTTGCTCGGGTCCCGAATGCAGTCCCTCAACTCAAGAAGTGTATCGAGGGCATCGTGTTACAAAGGCCATATTCTGAGTGCTCATGGTGCGAACTTTCGAAGGGCCGGTGGGAGGCCCATTCCCATGGTGAGATTACCTTCCCCAAGTGAGCAATATTTGGGTTCTTCTCGTGTCATTAAGTTCTCACTTGTTTCATTTCCTTTTGCAGGTTTACCCAAGGATGTCACACTGAGGCCTCCATATGGTGGTGAGAACTTCCCCACCGAGGCTCCTGCTCTAAGACAAGGTGATGAGAAGAAAAGGAAAAGGCTCCACTCCAAACTCCGAAAAGAAGAAACCAAGGAGAAGGCTGGTGCGCAAATCCAAAAAAAGTACAAGTGCTCGAGCACCATCTTCAGGTTCGATCTATCGGTTAAGGGACGAATTCGAAGAAGAAAAAGAAGAAGCCTTTGATCAGATGGCCCGCGTGTCATCGCAACCCGAAGGGCAAGGGGCCTCTGAACCGCAGAGAGACGAGGTCGATCTGCCTCAAGTTAGGGAGGCCGATGAGAAGGCCGGGGCCGAGGCTTCCCGGGATGCTGGAAATGCCCCGAAGGAAGTTCACGGTGTGATAGATATCATTGAGTCGCCTTCGTTCACTGAGTCTATGTATAACAAGGCTCAGACGGTGAAAGAACGCCCGAACAAGGGGGATCCTGGGGTGGACGACCCCTTCCGCAAATTTTTTTAATGGCGTGGATTCTATCGTCACGGAAGATGTCACCGGATTGGGTAACTTAGAGGTGTCGAAGAAGAGTCCATCTTCAGAGACCAGCGGGCCTTCCTCAAGCTTGAAACTAATCAACAGGTTCCCAGCTCCGAGTGTGGATCCTGACCGAAAGCGATCGATCTCATCTCCATTCCAGAGGATGTCCGGGTCCTCTCTGGCCCCGTAAGGGTGGGCAGCTACCTTCGTTGTCCGGTGACCGAGGAAGATCAAGACAAGATGAACGATGTGGATGCGGTCTTCCTATTCAACGAAGCACAACAGACGCTAAGCTGGGTAACTTCAGATACCTCTTGATGACTTTTTAATTTGTGCTTAGACTAATTTATAGATAATCCTAACATTTTTATTTGTGTCTATAGGACTCGGTGATTCATCATGAGACTTTTCTCCGATATTGGGACGAGCTGAACCAACTTGAGGCTAAGGTCTGAGGGCTCACTGAGAAGATATATACTTACAAACTTCTCAGCGAGCAATGTGAAGGGGAGGCAAGAGCCTCCGAGTTGAGCTAGAGGTGGCTCAGAAGGAGCACGCCGACCTAGTCCAGCAGGTAAAACTATTTGAGGTTAGTGACGATGAGCTAGACCTGGTGACTAATGGCCGGAATTCGCAGGTCCAACAAAACATCAATCAGATCGACCAGCTCTGAGCTGAGATAGATGTCGTCAAGGCTGAGACCGACGAATGAAGAGGCATGATGGACTGCCTGGCCTCGGAAAAGGAGATTGCTCGGGTGCAACTGACATCGGCTGAGGTCCAGCTTCATGCGGCAAAGTAAAAGGCCGAGGTACAGGACAAAAAGGTTGAGGAGCTCCAGTCTTAGCTAAGTTCAGCCGTTTCTGATCGAGAAACTCTGGCCAAGGAGCTTGAAACGGCCAAGTTAGTGGTCATGGTTGTTAAAGTAGATGCCAACGAGATAGCGGTCCCATATAAGTCCGATGCCGAGGTGGACCAGGATCGAACTAAGGATATCGTCGAGCACACGAAGCAGCAATCCCGAAGAAGGCCCTCGAGGAAATTCATGCTCGGGGTTTCGACTTGTCGGCCAAAATTAAAAGTGTTAAGGGGCTCGAAGTCGAGGTCAAGAAGTTGGCTTATCCTGAGGATGAAGAAAACTCCGAAGGTTCGAGTGGATCTGAGGGTGGAGGAGAATCTGAAGACCCTGGCGATGAGGCTGGCTCTGGTGAAGACCAGGCCGTTTATGTGCCTTATACATTTTTCTTTGTTTTTTGTATTTTTGTACTAGTGTACTTTTGTTCTTTTTGTCAAGGTCGTTTGGCCTTTGTAAAGACTATATGTATATATAATACAAGCCTTCTTTTTCCTTTTGATAATCTCTGAGTTTTGTTTTCCTTTGCTTTATTATTTATATTTGCAAAGATCAGAATGCCTTAGCATGAAATAGTTAGGTCATGTTCGGAGG